TTACTAATTTAGATTTCTAAAGAAAAATATACCATAAATAACTATATTAATAATATCTAAAATATTAAAACATAAGTACATTTAGGAGAGTGTCCGAAATTTTCATCATCACCAATATTTACGAAAATCTTTATAAATTAACCAAATCAATCTTAATAGATAATAAAATTATTTTTTAATTAATGTTTCAAATATTTTTTACCAATAATCACAAGATTTGTGATTTACTTAACAAGAATGAGATCTTCCATATTCAAGTTTTCGTATTTACATTTAATTATTCACATAATTATAATAAAGCTTTTTAAAAATTTGAGTTTTTTGCGGAAGTTTAAAAAAAAACTGTGAAAATGATTAATGCGTAAGATTGATTAAGCATTAAAATACGGGTATTTTAAGGATATTAGTAGAAAGCATTAAAATAAGGGTATTCACTATTATTAGAAATTAATTTTTTTTTCCTTTCAATTATCGTAGCAAATCATTTTGAATCTTCCGATTAATATCCTTAAAATACGTCATTGGCAGAAATTGTAGATATTATCTAATATCCAAGATTTGTTGCACATCGTTCTTTATACGGTATTGATATATTTAGTAGAAATTGTAGATATCATGTAATCTCCCTTCATCTATTTACTGGCCTAGAACCATCATCATAACACTTTTACACACATATGTATTTTTAAATTTATAGATTTTGTTGGCATTCTTCTATTTTTCATGGTTGTATTCATATTCTTTAAAAACAAAATTTCTTTATCTAATTTCTGTTTTGGCTTTGATGTTAGATGAATCCAAAAAAAAAATGAAGTTTCATAGCTCCAAGATATAATCTTCTTCTCCAAACCAATTGATTAATCTTTCTTCTTGATGTCCCTTTTTTCTTTTCGCTCTATATATTTTGAAAAAAAATCTATTTATACATATCAAATAAAACATTTTGTAGCTTACGATTTACAAAACCACTTTTGCATTAGATATGATCAAAATTAGATAATTGGTGCCCATAGATTAGAACTTACTTTTCTTGGGCTATCTAACTTGGAAATTATGCCATTTTTTGTTTTGTTTAAGAAACTATGCAATTTCCTTACTATCATCTCATCGATTTTCTCTTCATCACCTATAGCGTTTTTTATTTACTTAACTCATAACATTTTTTTAATGATATAATGCAAAAGAGGCGGAGTTAGTTGTGGAATGGGCAGCTGCTCATTTCAGTGGTTGCTATTTATGAATTATTTTATGGATAGCTCTAAGTTTGTTTATGTTCTTATCATCAATTATTTTATGTTTCATAAATTTTGTGATTTTATATTTGGTTTTTCCATTGTTAGAGCTCGGTTTATAAAATAATCAGTGATTCAGGTACAGAATTTCTTTTGTTAATACCATATGGTCTATATATGTGTACTAATGGGTAATATAGAGCCTAATTTCCCTTATTTCTATTTATATTCGTATAGTTGTCTATTATTTAAGAAATCGATTTTTACTTACAAACACAAAACTAACATTTTATACGATTTCAATATATATATATAGTACACTATACTATTGTAAAAAGTGAATAAAATTTAACATATACAACAAAAATTCTCGCACATAGTACGGGTGAGAATCTAGTTAACTTTAAAAATGAAAATTTGAATAAACCATTAAGACAGAACAATACATGGCAACGAAAGAGAAAAATTAAGAAAATATATTGAATTTGTCAAACTAAAATTTTGGCTATTGATTACAGTACTAAAGTAATTTTGCCATTTCCTATATGGAGTGCACCCAACCAATTGAACAGATGGAATATAACTATAGTATTATATACTAAGAGGAAGTGGCATATATAACCTACGAAACTATAATACAAAAACTAACCAATTTCACTCTATTTTTCTCTCAATCTCTCCTTATCTTTCTCTAATGTTTTGATTATAGGGTTAATTTGTTGAATAACCAAAAAAAAAATTTAAATCTAATAATCTAACCAAAAATCTAGATCAAATGGTTAGGATGTTGTCATATAGGAAGTTTTTTGTTAGATTATTAAATAAAATTTTTTAATAGTTATACAACCAAATTTTCCTTGATTATATTATAAATTATAGTTTTTTTCCGGTTATTGTTGCAAATCACCATTATACTAATGCATAAATATTATATGTACAAACATAATTCATGGTATTTTTTTTGTGTGTGTCAAAATTAACGGTATTTAGATGTACAATTTTGGAATACTATATCTTATCATTTCTTTAAATATGTATGAATACTATAAACGTATTTAACAAAAACCTTATATAGAACAAACATGTATAAATAGCACAGAATTCATCCACCTCAGCCAAAAACAGATGCTCTCAAAAGAAGTCACATCAGCATGTAAATTACCGATTCTCCTTCATTCTCATTTCACATTACCAAATTAATCTCTTAATATTCAATCAAACTATCTGGCCCATTAAAACCATAAGCCCCACAGTGATGCCACATCGGATCCAATTCTCAGCAAAAACAAACTCCTTTGCTTTCTCCCGTCTCCTCAGTAAAAGTCATGACATGCATGATGATCCATCTTCCCCACTTCTACGTTATAATTTTAATTTGTTGCTAAAATCCTTTATTTTCTTTCGATTGGTCTTTTCGGATTACTCTAATCTCATCTTCATCGATTCCTAAACGCTTTATCTAAAAACGTGGATCGATCTCTCTAGAACCCCGCGGTTAGTCCAGGTAAGGCTGGTGATGAAATTTCTCCGTCTTATTATTGCTTTATACTATATAGATTTATTTTCGTATGGTTTGCTTGGTTAACTCAATTTCCACTCACTACGAATTTTAGCAGCGGAACCCTAAACGAAGGCGGCGGAGGTGGCGGCAACGGAGATCCTTGGTAGCTCTCCTCGTTGAGATTTATCTGTTTCGTTGGACGAGGAGGTCTTCCCGACTTCACTCTCCGTGGTGGTGTCTCAGATTCCGATTGGATCACACAACAATTTAGTAAAACAAAATCATCAACACTTTGTCTGTGTGTTTTTGGTTGGTTTTTAAACCAATTCGATGTTTGTTAACACAAAAGTTTATAGAGAAACATGTAAGCTAAAAGTTTTGAGACACCCAAACAATGGAAAAGATTCAAACTTTGTTTGCGGGTACCTCCTTCTTAGCCACTTCTTCACCATTGTCCAACGGTGGTAAACTCTGCACAAAGGAAAACCCAAAATCAGGAAAACCTCTCAGGAGCAATTCATCGAACACCTTATGTGCATTACAAAAATCAAGACGACATAACTACTACAGACGATTCCTCAAATGGGTTTTAAACGCAGGAACATTAAGGGAATACTACATTATTAGAGCATTTGAACATGCGTTTTTTTTTTTAACAAAGGATATCGAAGCTTACGAGATCAGGCTTATAGATGTTGTGGACGACGGAGGCGCCCGCGAGAAGGGAAGCAACGACGACGACTGTTGACCATGCAAGTGACGGTGTTCCCGTCGGCAACTTCCCCTTATACGTTTTCTTGTTCATCTTTCCTCTCTGCTTTTCTTTTCCGACTCAGAACGCTTGAATATGCTTTGTCATATGATTCGTTCGTCCCCGCTCGTTGCAGGTTTAAGGAGTAAAACTACGCCGTTTTGTAATGGGCCTTACAGAGAGCCCATATTCCTTTTCCCTTGCACATAGTTGGGTTTGTCCGCGCTCGGACGGAATCCCGGTCTCCTGCTACCGACGGCGACGGTAGTTTCAACTCCGTCGTCAGATTGTGTGAGTTCTAGTCCCCAACCGATGTCGATCACTTCTTGCTCAGGGGAGCTACATCTCGAGCTCTGATTACTCCGTATCTTCGCCAAATCTCCACTCACTACGAATTTTAGCGGCGGAATCCTAAACGGAAGCGGCAGAGGTGGCGGCGGCGCGATTTGAATCAACGGAGACCCTTGGTAGCTCTCTTCGTTGAGATTAATCTGTTTCGTCGGACGAGGAGGTCTTCCCGATGTCAGTCTCCGTGGTGGTGTCTGAAGTTCCGATTGGATCTTTCGCGGTGGTGGCGGTGGAGGTGGAGGGGAAGTAACAACGATGATTAAAGATTTTAGTCATACGGACACGGAACGGAATTGTTGTCATGGTATTGAACTATGTCGAGCCGTAGACTTTTTAAAAATAATATAAAGCTCGATTCAATTCAATGAGTTGCCAAATTCATCGAATAAATTCACTAAAGTTCATGACCATTGTAAAGAAAAACAAAATATCACAATTATTTCTTTTGAAAATATATGAAAAAATTTGTTTCACGTAATTTGATAATGACATAAAAACTAAAGATTGATATTTTTTTTTTTCGCGTAGTCTTATTAATCGGATTTGTTGTATGATTAATTTTTTTTTTTTAAGTTTGTATGATTAATAAAATAATGGTCTTTTTAGTGAATAACCAAATAATTAAAAAGTTAGGAAAAATGGGGTATGTGGCAAATGTAGGCCATTAGATTTGAGATTTTTTGTTAGTTTTCAAATTATAATTTTTTTTGTTATATTTTTGGTAAATTCTCCGATAAAACAATGATTAGACAAAAGTATAATATAAAAATGATCATTGATAAATTTTTGCATCTACATTGAGAAGTTCTACAACAAAATATTAATATAAAATAAAATGAGTATCTTAAGTAGTTGAGAACTTCTCAGCAAATTATCTCAATTGAGAAACTCTTAGATGAGTTTTCTATATTTTGAGATATTCACCTAATAAAATATTATTATTTTTGTTTTTTTGGCTTTGAATGAGATATTAGCAATGACGTGCTCAAAATGCATACTCTTGTTTAAAGGGCCTGTCTTGGATAACCCTTGTTTACAAGCAACGTCGAGCCGTCGAGCAAAAATATATATATTTTACGTACCAAACATTACACGAATCATGCAAGTAATGCATACTCGAAAATATGTTGACATACCAAATACTATATTGTTTAGCAAGATAACATTTCAACACACGATTTCTCTTTTACCACGAGATGTTACTATAGCTACGTGAGAAAAAAATTCTTACTCAAAGTAAGACTTCAACTTTTCTTACTAAACATTCGAAAATAATACTAATAACTTAGTGGAGAAGGAGGTTTATGTCTCTTAAAAAACAGATATTCTAGATTTGTACTTGATTTCCTGACACTAATTTAAAATGTGAGGGCTAAACCTTGGGGGGTTTTATTCAAAAAAAGTTACAAAACCATCACATTTCTTCCAAGTTGTGTTTTTATTATTATCTTAATCATTGTCGCTACAAAAAAATCTCATTTCAATTTTAATCGCTCCATATACTACCAACCTAATTCCGTATACTTAGTATTAAAAAAATAAGCGACAAATAAATCCGTATACTACTAAAAATGTGAAAAAGTCCATAACTAATATTTCGTCCACGCAAAATACATTATTACAACTCCTGTGATGTGTCTTAAAGTAAATAATGTAGGATATTTGCTTGTACTACAAAAGTCCACGTATAGTATATGGCTCTGTTACGTATAAATTTGGAAAATAACTTTAGAGGACGATCATGTTATGTTGAGAGAAATAATTGGAGCGTGGTTATCATCATTGTAATGTTTACTCACCCTTTTCTCGCTACACCCCAACCCAAATTTTCCGCAACTTTTGTCGAGCTGTCTCTGCTTAATTAGCCACACATTTGTTTTTTTGTATATCATCTGATGTTATTGATAAAATATCCGAAGGTGAAATACACTTGAACACAAATCCTACAACATAGGTCGGTAGACAAATAAATGTCACCAAAAACAAAAGTCACGATCTATGAAAAGTCCCCGGAGCTAAAAATCCAAAAGAGATAATCAAGTAAAATGTAAACATCCGAAGATGGAAACGACTAGGCTAGAAGCTAGACAATACAAGCGGTAATATGCCGATCAAGGAGATGCAAAGACGAAGAGATACATTTTGCCGCAAACAAACGTGGAAGCCGGATACAGAACCAGAGTCGAATGAAATCAAGTGACCAATAAGGGAAAGTATCACTTACTCAACTCAAAATAACCAAGCTAACCACCCAAAAGACGGAAAATACAACTGATATGAAACCCGTTTTTACTGGCAAAGATCTTAACCAATGATCAGAACCGAAACTTCAACCAAGATAGAACCATTCACAAACCAACCAAAAATTACCTTCAATCAATCAACACTTCAAGTCTAGACATTGATTCGTCAGAGACAAAACAAGTCCGGAAACAGCACCTAACCAACCATTAAGCGAACCATAAGGCTAAGGCTAACAACAGAAGATCGACAAAACTGAGTCACGAACAAAGCTGATAGATTCCTGATGAGGATATATTCTCCAAGAACGCACTTCGTTAGGTTGAGACACGATCTATTGCAGATCAGATGAAAT